TGGATTCCATAACTTCTAGCTCAGATTTAGCATACTTCTGGGCAAGGGCATAATTTTTAAATGGCTCATTGGCAAGAGTGTTTCCTTTCCCCCCTGCAGAAAGAATAAATCTAGATTAAATAGAAGAAATGTGGGCTGACATTTTGATGCTGAAGATATCATATGGACAGATCCAAAAAAACATACATGCATCAGAAACATCAATCATGCAGTAATCACCCATGTGGAACCACCCTTTGACTGACATAGTCATGCAGATCAACAAATGAAGTTAGGTAGTTTTTCAGGGGAAGACTATAGGTCAATTAGAGAACACATATTTGCAATCCAAAGTTTCAAGGTTCAATCCCTGGGAATATCAGTTAAAAGGACGTTGCTGGGGCTTAGACTAGATGACCCTCAGAAACCCTTCCAATTCTACAATTCTTTTGTTCTTTTACCTTCCTGCCACTCCCCACCCCCCCATAGTCAGCAGCAGGAAATCCACTGCTGGGAGGTGAGGCATGTGTTGCTATCTCCTTAATGACTGTCCTGCAAATGAGGATTGGGATTCTTATAATTGGATTGGATACAAACCTGTTATTGTATGAATGGAAAGGCTCCTTCCGTTTTCACAGGGAATGAGGATCCAGTGAATTCCACCACTTCCTTCTGCAGCTCTGAGCTTCACTTTGCACACTGTTCTGGAGAGGGCTGAAGAGAGGAGGCAAAAATCACTACCTACTGTCAGTAGAGTTGTGCTGAGCACAAGTCATAATGTAACCCAGCAAAATGTTTAAGCCAATTCAGTCCACTATGGACTTTAAAGAACAAAAGGTTAAAATACATAAAAAGGTAAAGGTAAAGGTACCCTGCCGGCCAGTCTTGACAGACTCTAGGGTTGTGCGCCCATCTCACTCAAGAGGCCGGGGGCCAGCGCTGTCCGGAGACACTTCCGGGTCATGTGGCCAGCGTGACATCGCTGCTCTGGCGAGCCAGAGCCGCACACGGAAACGCCGTTTACCTTCCCGCTAGTAAGCGGTCCCTATTTATCTACTTGCACCCGGGAGTGCTTTCGAACTGCTAGGTTGGCAGGCGCTGGGACCGAACAATGGGAGTGCACCCTGCCGCGGGGATTCGAACCGCCGACCTTTCGATCGGCAAGCCCTAGGCACTGAGGCTTTTACCCACAGCGCCACCCGCGTCCCGTTAAAATACATAGCCTTTAGTTAACAGATTCTGGCAGATTTAGCATACTGATTGAGGCCTGCATGCATGGGTATTCCTTGCTCTATGTCATATTAATAACGCTTTCTAAACAATAAGCACTTAAGCATCTAGGAGGTATATGAGGTAACTGAAAAATAGATAACCCTTATTTAGATAATTCCTGTTTACAGCCTTATAATATATGGGCAGGATTCATATAAGAAAGTTAATTTCCCCTGAAACATTAGGATCATGTAGATGCTGAGCCAAAGGATGAAAAGAAAGGCAGGGGGAGCTTGGAAAAACATGAGGGAAAAGGCTTAACTTTTTGTTTCTGCTTTAAAGGAAGCAGTTTGTATAGTTATGCTGTATAATTTCTTTGTAAAATGTTGTAGTAGAAATCAGAAAGGTATGAGCAAAGACTAAGAAGAGAGCCTGAGCAAAGAAATGTGCTTCAAATAAAATGAGAAATCACTGTGAGGTCATAAGAGCACATCATTCGTAGTAGAGAATGGAAAGCCTGGTTATCAGCTAGACACTATTCAAAGTGCAACGTAATAGTATCTTGATGTATTTATTGACTTAAATATTACAGTATTTGGCATCAGGCATATTAACAAACCAACCTGTTTACGTGCTGTTCTGTCACTTTCTTCAAAGAGTACTCACACGAAAGATAGCACAAAGTATAGTGATTTGGTACAACCATCCTTGAGATTGCATGCAAACAACCCTATTTCAGGGAATGTGTATATACTCCAGATGATGATTACACATTGAACTATCTTGTACTTACTGCAGTTGCAAAAATAAGATTGAAAGCATGTTGGTTGTGGGTTTGAGTCCCACTTTGGGCAAAAGATTCCTGCTTTGCAGGGGGTTGGACTAAATGACCCTCTGGGTCTCTTCCAACTCAATGATTCTAAGTTATTAAAGCCTATTGAAATCTTTGAAGCCAAGAGAGAAGAAGCTAGAAGGATTCCCTGTGATCAGGGACAGGGTTCTAGACCCTAGCACTTATTTGCTGGGATGGGGAGCCCTATCTTATGAGCAAGCTTCTGGGGGCCACATGCCCGTAGCAGGGAGGCGAGAGAGAAAAGGGGATGCAGCAGCAGATATGACTCTTTCTTTTGTATAGTAAGCTACATTTCAAGTACTGTACACAGAAGTGAGAGGTTTTACACATACACACACACACACACACACACACACACACACACACTATTCAGGCAAAAGTACTAGAGAAAGATGCAGAGCAGCTCTCATTATGGGTGTGGCCTGGGGGCTAAACCAAAGCTCTAGGAGGAACACATTCAGTCTCCTCATCTGAAGTTCTTCATCCCTGCCTTACATGAAGCAGAATACTTTATGCAAAAGAAGCAAATAGTAACCAATTTGTATAATTTAAATCTGTGGCATAATTCCTTCTGGACCCCAAATTTGGTTCATATTGTTGCAGAATTTTTTATGGTTTTATTTTTCAGACAGAATACATGCAGTCTGCTTAGTCCCCTGCATAATTCTGTGAATATAGTTAATATAATAGTTCTCATTAAATTATGAAAGAAGAATAATGCAAATTAGTGCAGACTATAAGAAATATTTGTTGAATATCAGTAAGAAAAATGTTGAAGGATCGTCTGAGATGGAGATGCAGTTTCATGTCAGGATATAGTTTTCAATTTATTCTTACAATATACTGTTTAGATTAGGTTCCTAGTACTTTTACCATTATATATCTGCAGTAAATTTATTGCAGCTAAATAATTTTATATAAAATTCACTTTTGATTGGATGCATTTTACATTGTGTTGGAATGGAAACATCCAGTAATAAGCATTTGTCCATCTTGCTTATATGAATTGTTCAAAGGTATTTGGAGTTTAAGGGACAAGCTTCACTTGTTGTTGCTATGTCATTTGCTAAACAATAACAAAACTGTTCTGTGTACAAGTACACAAGCACACATTCCAGTCACCACGGGGATCCTACAGAATGTGGTGTCCTTGTGATGAATGATCCTTGCCATGGCGATAATAATTGCTGTATTGATTTCCGCCATCACATTGAATTTCCATGCCTCTGCTTTCATTTTTCTGGCCACTGAGGTGGGTGTCTAGAAGTTATTTCATCTTCATTGTGATAGACACACAAATGTGTTGGAGAAGGGAGGAACATTCACTGACTGGTCTACTACACATTCAAAATTTCTCCCATTTTGGAGAACAAATTAGATGCCTTTTATATACTGTAGTCTATTATTCATTTAACATAATGGTTTAGGAGACATCAACAGCAGCATCTCATTCCCCTAGCCTGATGTCTTTGGATAAAAGTAACAGCTAACAGTTAAGTTGCTCTGTACATATGATAGTACCAACTGTTTAAACCTATTTGTTCATTTTCTAAACCTAAGGACTTGGTCACATTAATTAGGAAAAGCCTTCCTAAATGTTTTGTGTCTATTCTCTGTGCACCAATTTTATCACTGAACCAGAAGTGTAGGACGCTTGCTCTTGAAAAATCAAGTATCTTCACCAGAGCTGGAATGTAATTAGACTAACGTAACAAATTTAGTCACTCTGCTACTGGTGTGGAAGGATTGCTATACCTGGTAGATGGTAGGTGACAGATGGGAACTAGCAGAATGCAAGCATCTTAGGATATATGTACTGAAGGGGTCAGAAGAACATCCAGTGCCAGAACTATTAGCTGCTTCAGGTGATAATATAGGCCAGTTAAAAACATTAGTTCTGTCATATGTGCCTAATATGCCATCATGAAGGTAGTGCCATGACGTCTGTAACTGCATTTCCACACTTCAATGCTATATATCCGACACACACCTTGATCTTGAATAATTGACATTTATGTTTGTAGTTACTGATGCTTATTGAAATTTTTGGAGCCATTTAGAATTGCACTGCTAAAGCATGAAGCATTTATAGTATACTTTGGTTTTATGATGCACTCAAAACCAGACTATGGGGTGTTTTTGCTTTTGTTGTCTTACTACTCGTCCATACTTGCACTTGTCCTGTGCGTAGAAAGCACAGGTCTGAGAGGTCTTCTGATCAGTGCATAGGCACTGGTCTATGAATTTTCCCCTTGCTCCCCTCCTTTCCCAGGAAAAACCCGCTCTTTAGGTTGAAATCAGAACAAATGGCAATCCACAGAAAACCCAACTGCCGTTTGCCCCAACTGAGCGCTAAAGAGCAGTATTCCCCAGGGGAAAGCAGCGGAATAAGAGGAAGTCTGGATAAGCCCTTAATTTTTGATCAGTCTGAAAGAACAATTTTTTTTATAATTAATTTTATAATGGCACAACACATGAAGTATGGGGGAGAGGGATAGTAGCATGCTTGATTGTAGAAAATAATAAAGTATGAAATATGTAGCTAAAATAATGCTAGTATTTTTTAAACTGTAGGGCAGTGTCCTTTAAGGTCCTTTAAATGCATAAGCTTCTTTTATGTTTTGATCTTCCAGTGCTCAACTGTAACTAGTTTCAAACAAATTATTAAAGGATCACATAAAAATTAAAAGAAGCACCCAAACAAGCTTAGCAACAGCAACAGCAGCAGCAGCAGTGAACAGTATTCATTATTTAGGCTTAAATGGCACATAACCTACTTTATTGCATCCTGATAATACTGATTTTTAGATGGCATGGTTCAGTGATGTAAACTGTGACATTTTAAAAAAATTAATCTTCTAAAACTTTGTTGATTTTACTAATCTTATTAAAAAGGGAAGATTACACTGTGAATATTGTACCTCAATTTTATTGTAATAATTTTGCTGGTTACCAGGTGGGGTGGCAGTTGAAAAATTTGGTGAATGCACTACGAGAGGATCCGAGTGGTGTTATCTTAACTTTGAAAAAGCGACCTCAGAGCATGCTTACCTCAGCACCAGCTTTACTGAAAAATATGAGATGGAAGCCCCTTGCTCTGCAGGTAATGATGCTTAATCATAAATCATACACCATCATTTTAGCTATAGATTATCTCAATGCTGCTTTATTGCGCCTCATCTCAGCAGCATATGTGGATTTAGTCTTGTATGCTTTGACAATGGTTTTTGACATGATCTTTGCACATTTATTCTCTAGAGTTCAGTTAACATTAAATCCCAAGCTTGCAAAATTTAGACAATCTTGTATTCCACAGTTGCATATATTTGCTCTATTTCACAAAACTTTAGATATGCTTTCCACCCTATATAAGGTTTATAGGTTACTATGCAACATTAAACAGGAAACAGTTTGCTACAGTATGAAGTCCTGATTCAATAAAAATAAAAAATTGAATAGACTGTGATTTAACCACATTGTTATATCCTACATTCTCCATCTCTAGACTCCCACCCCACCAGTTCAAGTGTACATAAGCAAGAGACACACCTACAGAGTAGATGAAGAAAGTGGTAGAGCCCTGATTCATTGTTGCTGGGAAAGAAACAGTGGATAGTTTCCATGCCAGGAGCCTCAAGGTCTTCCTTCCTCTACTCATAATTAGACACAGAGCAAGGGGGTAGGGGTGAGGAGTGTGTGGCAAAAGAACCTGAGTTGGAACTCAGTAAAGAGCAGCCAAAGTAAGAAGCTTTTCAGGGTCCTTTGGGCAGTGCAGCCAGGTGGATGTCAATGTAACTCTCACAGATGTGGAAATGTAATTTCCGCCTTGGTTAGGTTTCTTTTACTTTCCAGGCAAGTAAATAACAATTAGTATTCTTCACATATTGGTTTCAGCCCCAGACAGGCTTGTACCTCCCTTTGTCTATTCTTCTGACAAAGGTGGGTACACTTAATGAATGCCATTGCTGTGAATGTTACTGAATGCCCTGCCTGCCTGCCTCTACTGCTGTGCTCTGATTTGTTAAGGAAGATTGGAATCATGTAATAGAATAGGAATGATGGCAATAAAGGAAAGTAAAAATATATAAAGGAAAGGAAATAAAGGAAAGGGAAATAAAAATAATTCTTCATATCAAACCATAAACCATCATAGATTGCTGTTTGGTTGCCTGCTAAACATATTGTCAGTATATCATAGGAGTGACTTAGAACATAAAATATGATTAGAATTTGACAAACACTGTCTTAAGCTTTCAGTACACCTTAGTTGAATATAGTATTTTGCTGACCTGCTTTTTAACTGATTCTTTTTTCTTATTTTAAGTTAAACCCTAACTCTGTATTTTTGTTTCATTGTAAAAAATTTGTTATGATAAACTGGACTTCTATACAATTTAATTAACAATTGAAGATATAAAGGCTTGTTGCTTTTTCTAAACTAAAATATTGATCTTTTGATTAATATGTCACTTAAAATATGTATCTTGAAAACCCTTTCCTTTCTAAATGACACTAAGGAACACTGTTTTCCTTCTTGGGTATATTCCAGAATAGTTACAGTGTTCCTGTTTAAAACAAAAAGCAAGACGTGGAAGAACACTAAAATAGCCTTTAAAATGTTTTTTATAAATGTATATTTATTAATATAGATGTAGGCATAAAGCTAAAACTATAGAATTCATTTTGCAGGATGGGGGTGGGATCACAGACTCAATAATTGTAAAACATAAATCTTACATGACTAACAAAAGTCTGTTTGCTGATCGTGATAGTTCAAAATTTGATAGATCTAAGATGTTATTCAAATCTGAAAATGCAAGTTCAATTGGAATTCCTATTTTATAGCTTTGTAAAATATTTGTTCTCATTTTTATGTTCTGATCTGATCTTTTATCCAAAAGAGGTTCTTTACTTTCAGTGAGCTCCTATATGTACAAGTTAGAACATTAGTAAAGAAAACTGATGGGAAATTAACAAAACCCTCTGTGTAAACATGGAATTTTTAACTGTATAATATACGTCAGTAGCTTTTAGTCTTACTTTTCATGAAAGGTTAGCAACTTGCCTTCTTAAGACTGATACACTGTTATTTCAGTAAATATGCCCTTGCATATTTATGCTTACACCTTGTACCTTTGCATTAATGTAATGTGTAATATTATAGCATGATTTATTAAATATGCTCCTTAAGTAAAAAGTATGTTTATTTTGCAAGATACGGTTTGCATAATGAAAAGTTGAATATGCATTACACTTCTGAAACACATAGGACAAATGCTTGTTCCAAATGACCTGGAGAACATTCCTACACTTTCAGATAAGCATAACTTTATACTAACAGGGGTGCCATTTCCATAGTCATTTTGCAGCCATCTTGGTAAATGGGCTGCATTTGAATAGTTGAGAGATATTCTCACAAGTTCACAGAATGGGTCTGCTTCCCCATTTGTAAAACACGAGTATGTTTCTATGACCAGGAACAACTTTTAAAATACCACCAAGAGGGAGATGATGTTCTTTAGCAGATTGCATTGCAAATCCTCATGCTCTGGACATTAGATAAGGCAGCTTTTGGAAACTTTTTGTGGGTGTGGGGAGAAGAGAGACACCTGGCTAAAGCAGCCAGATACAGAGGACATTTCTCGAAATACCAAAGCCCCCCTCTCCCATGCACCAGCCTGATAATCATTTAAAATTAGTAATGATTTTAAAGTTGTTTTACCAGTACCAGACAATTTGACTATAAGCAGAATTTACTCGAACATGTCATTCCCAAACTTTTGAATGTGGGGATTCCCACAAGAACACAAACTTATTTTGCATTGTTTTCAGTGCATTCTAAGGGATAGTGAAATGGTGCTTAATTTATCAAGATAAGATAATATAGGTAATATAGTATGTGAATTATATCAAAAACTGTGACTCACCTAGTGATTCACTCTTCTTTTATAGCATTCTGCTTTTAATCACTTTTAATGAGTGAAGTAAATAATTTTTACTGTTTATTCTACCCAACAGTCATTTATGCGGAATGTGGAAATTCAGTTTTGGGATTTATTATTCAGAATATGGCTGTGATCCTTTTCAGAAGGTAAATCCCATTAAACATAGTGGGACTTCCTTCTGAGTAGACGTACATAACAGCGCCATAACTGTGACTAGTCTTTGATTTCATTCCAGCATGCTATTAGTGGTTAGACACAGAAAGTACTATGGTCTCAAAGCAATCCTAAACATACTTAATTGGAATTTGTTTTTTTTTAATCAGTGGGACTTGCAAGTTATATTTGGACTGTAAATTAGTAGCCAAAGATTTTTTCTGGAACAATCCAGAGTATTATCGTTATATTACTGTTCCTTAGTGTTTTGCTGATGTATGTTCTTAAATTGTCTTTCAAGTTTAAAATATTCATTGCAATCCTAATACGTTTTACAAAATTTGCAAAGTAAAATTTCAGGATTTATACATGATTTTTAGATCCCCCCCATGTTCCTTCGAGGGATCATAATTTGACCGTACCCTTTTTATTGTTTTGGTAATCATAACTTCTATATAGTTTTTATTTAACAGAGCATTGAAATAAGCTTATTATTTTTCCTCAAAGCTATTGGCTTAAAATTATCTGTGTTTTTTTTAAAAAAAGTTTCTTTCATTTCCAGGTTTTAAATATATATTTTTAACACCCTCTTTTTGTGATATTTGTTTCATTTCCCAATCTTGTTATTTCTCTTTTTGGAAGGAGTGGGGACGGAATGATGTTCTCTTTTGGTAGTTTCCAATAATGTAAATGATGCCACACAAAGCTAAGTACTAGTAAACTTTAATCAAAGATGGGTTTGCTGCTGGGGAACCTACTATTCTGCCTTCTGGAAAATACTCCTTTTAAAAAGTGCTTTGGACTAATTTAGTAATCTATATAATGCTGTTTCAACAGACAAGCCTGAAAGAATATATAAGATCCCTGAACATGAATTCTGTGTATAAGGTTTCCATTTATGTAAGTCAACATTGGTGTAGTTCTAAATAGACAAATATATTTCTCAATGTTTATCCATAATTATCCCTTTGATTCTAACCTATAATTTGTCCCTATAGTCATACAACATTTCATGTTTAGAAGTTTTAAAATTATTCTGTGACTGTCATGTTCTGCTGAGGTTCTGCTGTTAATTCAATATGAGCAATCTGATACCTTAAATGATTTTTGCTAAATGAAATGTTTCTCTGCTGTGCTATTTCCCTTGAAGAAATACAATCTTTATCATTAAAGGGTCACACATTCTGTATATTTCTTGTTGTTACTCCCATTTGATTTTTGCTAGTTAATAAATATTTTTTAAGCACATAAACTTTCTTGTCTGATGGACAGGACAGTCCTATGATCTCACTGTTCCTCATAGCCACTGCACAAGGCTATCACCAGGGCTAAAGTTGTGCTCAATTAGCACAGCCAATGGCCATATAAACAAAAGGAAAGTTTCCTTTACCGGGGGTTGCAGGAACTATGAAGCAGGCAAGGAGACCACTTGGGTGCAAGTGGTGGAAAACCACATGTGAATCTGAACAAACACAAATAAGAATTTATTATCAAGCCTATGGTGGTGGCATCTACTTCTCTATTACCACCCAACTGAGGAGTTCCATCCATTGGTTCAGGAGCTTACCTGGTTCATTAAAGCAATACGAGGCTACCTAGGATCTAGTCTTCTTTTGCTGGATGGTTTTGAATTGTTGAAACCAAAGGATATGGAGAAGTATTTAGATAAGTAGGCCTAAAGCATAACCACATATTCCTTGCTCTTCTTGGCCTGTAACATCTAGCAGAAAGAAATTGGCTATGTCCAGGAGGTAGTGAATGCTTCTTTGTGGAATGTGGAGATGGGAGTGGGTGTGGGTTTTCACCAGAACTGAATGCCATGGTTCTGTAACATGTTCCTTGGACACAAAATTGTAACAACTATAACAAGTTCAGTGACCAAGATGCTTGCCTGGACCTGAACAGTGGTAACTGCATAACAGTTTTTGATGAGGACTGGTTTTGGTAATAATTTTTTTTGCCAGCATATTGGATGACCTCTGCAAAGCAGGGTTGACCCTTATCCATACTGGCTTATTACAGCTAGCTGTAGGGAGTTGACTGGGTGAGTCCAGCAAGTGACTAATACTTCACTGGAGCATGGCAGGCGCCACCTGCCTTGAAGAAGGTGGTGGTGTACTCCTTACTTACCTGGACTAAAAAATATTAAAGCAACTATCACCCAGTGTCAAATATCCCTTTTTTGACACCTCTGGGAGTCATCATCATGAGATTTGAGGTGCAGTACCATCAATATGCAGCTCTCTTTTCCATCTGAAATGGGACGCAGGTGGCGCTGTGGTCTAAACCACAGAGCCTAGGGCTTGCCGATCAGAAGGTCGGCGGTTTGAATCCCCGTGACGGGGTGAGCTCCCATTGCTCAGTCCCTGCTCCTGCCAACCTAGCAGTTCGAAAGCACGTCAAAGTGCACGTAGATAAATAGGTACCACCCCAGCGGGAAGGTAAACAGCATTTCTGTGCGCTGCTCTAGTTTTGCCAGCATGTGGTCATGCTGGCCACATGACCCGGAAGCTGTACGCCGGATCCTTCAGCCAGTAAAGTGAGATTAGCGCCACAACCCCAGAGTCGTCTGCGACTGGACCTAATGGTCGGGAGTCCCTTTACCTTTTTATTCCATCTGAATCAGGAGAGATAGCTGAGATATTTGACTGATAACTGGAGGTGGTGATGGATTGGATGTGAGACAATAAAATGAAGCTGAATCTTGAAAAGGGGTTTAATGTGTGAGTGGTGGGGAGGCCGCCTGATATGGATGGGGTTGCACGCCTCTGGAAGGAGCAGGTTTGCCGCTTGGGGTGTTCCTGGTGCTCAGGTGGCCTTGGTAACTGGAGCCCCTTTTTCTGCTTTGGCTGGTTTACCAGCTATGGCCGTTTTGGACAGAGATGACTTGGCCACTGCACTCCATACTCTGGTAACTTCCAAATTGGATTATTGCAATGTGATTTATGTGAGGCTGCCTTTGAAGACAAGTCAGAAATTTCAATTTGTCCAAAATGCAGTGGACAGATTACTGGCTGGGGTTCTGTTTAGATCTTGCGTGACCTCTGTTTTAAAATAGCTGCACTGGTTGCCAATCTGTTTCCAGACCAATTCAAAGTGCTTACATGTTCCCCAGTGCTGCAGTGGGGCAAGACATTCCATTCATTGGTGTTTTGAGTGCTCTGTGTATTTCAGGGAAAGTGAAAGATAAAAGGTGTTGGGGAGTCCTGCTTTATTGTTTGTGCTCCTGCTCCATTCCTTATTCATGCAGGGTGGAGTGACTTCTCCTTGCATCTCTAGTTGTAGCAAGTGCTAGCAGTGCACCCTTATCACTTTGTTGTAAGTCTTGGCTGTTTGTGCAAAGGGGACTTTTACCACAAAAGTCTCACTGGGTGTCTATAAGTTCAGTGCCCAAGGATGCTCCAGATCTGTAAACATATCAAGTGTCAATGTATGTTCATAGAGAGACTTATAAGCCATCCCCCCATTTCCAACAGATTATATAATTCAAGGATGCTCTGTTGGACCTTTGATGTGTAATACTCGTGATTACAAGGAAACTTGAGAAGCTTTAATGTTTGAATGGATTATTTCAAACTTTTTTCAAGTTAAAATGTTTACATAAACTTTGCAATAAATCAATGTAGTTTCATAATAAATTACACGTGATGCCATTTAACCAGTACCATGAATTAGAAAATTATTTGGTTTATAACTAGCTGAAATATTTGTTGCTTCCACGTGTCTAAGTTGTTTTTATGTGTTTAGTTCATGTGTTTTGCAAACATAACTCAAATTATTGGGTGTTTCTATAGCCAAGTTTCCTGCATATTAGGACAGGTCAAACTTTCTTCCTGTGAGTTAGTCAAGGTAACACAGACAAAGGTTATTTCTCACCGTTTAGCAAAGGAATTTGAGCCATGGGCTAATTTGCAGCTACTGGGGGGTGGGCCTTGTCTCCCCAGAATTTCACAGGGCTTCTGCATATCAAATGGCTGGGTAAGATCCAAGGGGAGGGGCATTGGGCCTTCTTAAAGTGCCGGTTACTCAGCCTTTCTCCTTTTGGGGCTGAATTTTCCAACTCTCACTGCATCAGTTTCAGAGACTCCCACTGAGGCATGAGTGGTTGCTGGTTTACAGGGCCAGAAAGGAATTTTACTTTTAACCGCAATGGGCCTTCCATTTTCACTCTTCTCTCAGTGGATAGCAGGTATTTGTTAGGTGTCTTCTACAAATCTATTAGTTACAACTTGAGCAGAAATGGCATTGGGTAGGATTTGAACATAAGGGTCTTTAGGAGGTGCACCAGCTCCTGGCCTGAGCATGGGTGGGCTGGGTCTGGTGTCACACATCTCAGGTTACCAGCAGGATTCCAGCTGCAAGTTGTGCACCGTGCTGGGTCAACTTCCAAGGAATTCCCTAGTAGGTGTTCTGGGATGGTGTTTTCAGACCAGAAATCTTACAGGATGACAGACCCTGACCCAATGCCATGCCAACCCTGCTTACCTCACTGTGGTCAAGAAAAGTTCCAGCCTATTTTCACCCACTCCTGTGTCCTGGTCATTATTCACTCTCTACTTGGCCTAGGGAGGGCCATCACAATGTGCCTGGCATGCAACTGTATCTTCACTGTTATTAAAATAAAAATTGAAAACTTGCTGGCTGCCTTAGGAGATGCAGATAGAGTGAACATGCTAGGGAACAAGTCTACTCTGCAGCATTTATTCAAATTCAAATAAAGCAAAACCTGTGAGAAGGAGAACTATGCAAGACATTCAGGTGCCACATATTCACCCAATCAAGGCACATACCAGAATTTGAAGCTATGGGAGGCCATGCAATTTTCCTAGCAATTGTTTCTCAGGCTGTATATATTATACAATTGCTGTATTTTAGGAACAAATTGTATTTGTATATAATTTTGCTCCTGACATTTCAATCCTCCCTTTTTCACACACAGTGGAGTATCTTTGCTTTCATCTTACCATGAGTCTTTAGGACTCTTGCTGCTATTAAAAATCTATGTACACCCAGCTGTGTGCTAGCAGCTATGGTGAGGATATGCAATTGTGAAATCTGTGTTTTACTGTTTGAAAACTCCTGGCTGTAATATAAATGCTAGTAGACATGAGCCAGTCTTTCTGCTTGAAGGCTGAGAAACATACCTAAACAGTTCAAATCAAATATCTTTAATACTGTCAATGACCAGCAAACAGTTGCACATCAACTTCCTCGCAATCACAACCCATGGTTGGGTGAGCAAACCATCCTTGAGGGAGATGTGATGCTGCACTGCATAGACAAGGTTGCTGGGTTGCTGTGACAATCAGATTGAGTGTAATGTAGTAATCACTGTATAGTTTCTGATACAGAAACAGACACACTCATCAGGCAAATTTGTTTTCACTTGTTTTATATCTTGTACAAAAATATAGACATAGTTATATAGACTATAGTTTTATAATGTTAATTTTTGAGTGCATTCGGAAATATTTCTACTCAAAAGTAAATTCAGCTAAATTCAATGGGACTCTCTCCCAGGTAAGTGTGCATAGGACTGCAGCCTCTGGATCTTTTTTTTAAAAAAAATTGAAAACCACTGAAATCTGAATTACTATTTGTGATTTAATAAATTAAAACTACATGAAATTAGTGCTTCTTAATTGCATGACTGAAGTTTTACAAAATCTGAACTATAAAGTGTGTAACATGTCATGCCATTTTCTAGGAATGCCTGGGAAGGTTAAAAATTGAGAAGGTTATATTACTCAGAAAATTGTACTCTACAAAATGGAACACCTTGTTGGAATTCACCTGTTCATGCAACATTGAGCTCATATTTACAATGTCAGCTACTCGTTTTGTTTCCATCTTGAATATTGCCTTAATAACAAAAATGACTCAGTTATTTAAAATAATAGTTAAGTGCATCTGAAGAATAAGATGGCAGTAACCATGAAAAGAACCATCTGATTGAAATTGGCTTGTTTGTTAATGTGAACCTTTTGAAGAACGTATAACTTGAACATACTTTGGAATTCCATATGTTGGCAAATGGTGCTCAGGCAGCTTCTTGTCAGATAACAATCTTTATTTCATTAGTGCATCACTACTTTGGAATGTTCATATCTTAATTTAGAAGCAGTGGCAACCGAGGAAGCCCCTGCCTGGCAAACACTGAAACTAACTTGATAATTTCTGTTATGGAATGTTGAAGCCACCTTTGGCTGTCATAATGAATTGAGCATGGCACATTTCAGTCTACATTTGAATGATAATGGGGGAGCCTTATTCATGAAGATTCAAAAGGTTGCTAACCAAGATTATTAAAATCTAGAAATCAAATAACATGTGGGTTGTTTTTTTCTGCTAGCACCTTTGAAGTGATGCTATCAACCTGAACCACAGCAGGACGGCCATAAACTGCCATTCTGTAATTATTGAAAATGACTTCTGAATGAGAAACAGTATTTATGCTTGCCTCGATTTTTCAGTGGTGATTATCTATTTGCTAATGCTGTGCCTTTCAGTCAAGATTATTGGGATTCAAGAGATGTTTTGCTGCTTATGGTAGACATTTTTCACTCCTGCTCTTAAAATTGAAGCTTTGCTACTCTGTGTATTGTTTTGGATCCAGAATAATGTCTTCTATTTTAGTAGGTACTCCAGACATCTTTCTCCTTAGGCCAGATTTCCAGAATTGAGAGGGAGCTCTTATTTCTCCTTCAGTTTTTGAATCTATGTCCATTTTTAATGTTCATGTTGATGTATATCTATTCCATTTTTGTGTGTGTCTTTCCATCACATTACATCTCACTGTACTACCAAGCATATCTTGCCAGATTTTGCAGACCTCACATTTCAGTCCTCTGTACCCCACAAAGGTGTCATGATTAGTATTTACAGTAAAGTCCCAGTTCCCTGTCACAATTTATTCATTTTTCTTCTTACAAAGGATTACCTACTATGCCCTCTATCCCTGAAACCCCAAAATGAAATATTTGTGCCCTGCTATACTGTAATAGGTTAAACACAACGTGATTGCTAGTGTAGATGCTAAGTCCTAAGTTGTGTTTAAATGCATTGGTTACCAGAAAAATCACAAAACAAGTCCATTGTTTGGCAAATATAAAAATGTATCTGCTTACTTTTAATATTCCAGTTAAAATAAAAGCAAATTAACTATCCTGGAAATTAGAGTTATTACATGCTATGACAACTAGAAGTGGGTGGACACCCCCCCCCAAGCAAGTACTATAGCTAAACAAGGACATAGGGTTTAAAATGTGGTGTTAACTGAAAAAGTGTGTTTTAAGGAACACCCCTTGGTAAAAACATTGAAGAACATTGTTTATATGACTTCTGTGAAGCTAGGGACCAAAACATGTAACATTGGGAATATATCCAGAAAGAGATATTCCAGCTCTGTCTGTGTGATGCAATTTATATTAAACTCTAGGAAAATGATTTGTCTATGTTGTAGCTTAGGAAATTTGCAATATGTAGGCACCTAGTAGTTGGGGAAAGGGGTGGATTGAAACAATCCTTGTAATGTCACCAGTATATATTCCCTGGATGACATAGAATACTTTTATCCATGCAACTCACAAAGAGGTCAGCTATGCAAACATTGCATTTTCTGGTGCATAAACATTTAGATTTAAATTACTGTGATAATAAAAACATGAAAGTGATTCAGTGATAATCACGTATTCATTTAATTCTTTATATTTTGTTTTAACCAGCCTCTTGTACCTAGAAGTCCTACAAGCAGTGTGGCAACACCATCCAGTACTATAAGCACACCGACCAAGAGAGACAGTTCAGCACTTCAGGACCTCTACATACCTCCTCCTCCAGCAGAGCCTTATATTCCCAGGTGAATTGTCATCGTCGATCTTCCTGATAATTTGAAATCACTCTCATAACAAAGTGAAACTACATCCTTTTTGGGGAAGCGGGGTGTGTGTGTGTGTGAAATTGCAAACTTCTGCTACCAGATTGCAAACTTGGCGATATAAAGAGGAGATCCACAAACCAAGATTCACAGACCAGCTGTCACCCACCCATAGACATGCAGGGACGCGGACTTATAAAAATATTGGGGGGGCCCGGGAAAGCTCATGAATAATAAATAACCTCATGAATATGCAAATAAAGTGGCGCCGCCTCCTCGTGAGCGAATAGGGGAGAGCGTGCTGCGCCTATTAATCAGCTCCGGAACAGCTGATATGCGGGAAACGTGGGGCTAGCCGGAGAAGAGAGGGCGAGCCCCCTCCGCTCCGGCCCTAAATAGGGCAAGCCACACACCCCCAGCCAGCCGATTGGTACCCGGTCGTTCTCGCGGGGGCTGAAACCGCCAGGAGGAAGGAAATTCCCCCCGGCAGTGCCTTGGCAGTGGCGGTGGTGCTGCGAAGCAGCGAGGCAGGAGCCCCCGCCCCCGGGGATTCCCTAATCTCGCAGGGGACGGCCGGGGCTCTCCGACTAGGGCGCGCGGCTGGCTGGCTGGCTGGCGAGGGAGCAGGTGGGGAGGAGGCGGGGGATGGCGGCGGCGCTCTGCTGGAAGGGCGCCCGAGATTATTGGGGGGGCTGAGCCCCCCCAAAAATTTTTTTGAGGGGGCTCGAGCCCCCTCAGGCCCCATGGAGTCGGCGCCTATGTAGACATGGCAGTCTGTGTGTGATTCATATAGCCTTTACAGGGAAAGTTACCGATGGAAGAAGAAATCTCACCCATTTTCAGTGACACTGTTTCCTGTCCTTACAGTTTTGAGGGGGGGGGACCCATACAGAAAATGGAGTTTCAGAGAGTCAGAGGAGTATAGCAATATTTCCTTGCTACTGGATACTCAAATCGTTCATGTTAGTGTTGAATAGATTTCTCATATAGTTTAGAATTCTGCCACTTGATTTTGTACAAATTATAGCAGCTATTGTTTGCAGGCCAAGGTGCTAGGCCTCTTCTGCACCTGACCCTCCAAGTAAAATAAAGGACACCATAGACTGGCATTTTGGATAGAAACAGGCCACAACTTTTTGAATACAGATGAAAAAGGTTTGGCTTAGACTTGAGGCTTAGGCATTACTTCTGGCTCATCTGCCAGAAGTGACGCCAGGTCGATCCGGCCATGGGGGTTCCTAAGTCTTACATCAAATAGGGGGAGCTCCACAGGAATCACTGTCTGGGGGAGTGCTATCAGTCCTGGCCCCCAACTGGGCATAATAATAATGATAATAAGGACATAAGCAACTCCCCCCCGGATCCCTTTAACAGCATGCCCTAGCATTAAAGAGGCAAGTGGAGACTACAACCATTCCTCCATCCAAGACTAAGACTGTCCCAATGCTTAACTAAGTTGTGACAATTGCCATGAGGTAGGCAAAACCACCATTATGCACAGTGCTACTTACTTTCCTCCTTCATGTGGCTATCAGAATGCATCCAAATTTATTTTTTCCCTCAAAGGGATGAAAAGGGGAATCTTCCATGTGATGATATCGGAAGACACTTAGTGGGAAAACCAGTGCACAAGGGATCTGAATCTCCAAATTCCTTTCTGGACCAAGAATACCGAAAGCGTTTTAATGTGGTTGAAGAAGATGCTGTTTTATACTGTTATGAATATGAAAAGGGAAGAACAAGTAGCTCTGGAAGGAGAGAGAGCACTCCAACCTATGGTACGGTACTCCCTTATAATGAAAACATAATCCTTCATGGCTCTTATATAGTTTTGTCCTGGAACATACATTTGTTTGTATCCATTAGAGTTCATGCACCACATATTTCTTCTCACATTATGCTGTGTTTTACTGCATTGTGTATTACATCCAGCCCTGGCTTTCACAAGACAGTTATTCAACCCCTCCTGAAATAGCCAAGAGCCAGCACAGTCATTTAGCCTTAACAGTCAATACGAGGCTCATGCTATGAGCCTCAGCCTGCTTTGCAGATCAGCTTCTTCACCTCCTCTTTTCACCTTCTCTGATTCTTCTCCCAATCCCTTCTGTTCTACACATACACATGCCCACTTTTCTATTTGATTATGGTTTTTGGTCCTCTTGATTATTTTGTACAGAGTGTTTTTTTTGTACTTGTTCATAATTTTCATGCAAATACCATGTACACAAAGGCCTCTCTCCTGGGTTTACATGGTGCTCTTCAGACTGCATTTGCATCAGTATTCACCCCTGAACTTCACTAACTGCCTCAGAACATGGAGGTTCATTTGCTGCTTCCATGACTAATAGTCATTGATAAAATACTGTTTCAGTGTATTTGTGGCTTTTTAAAGACACCTGTACTAGTACTGTGTCTGTGCTAATTAACTTCATAGCTAATTCTGCACTCTGCAAATAATTAATGATAAATACTGATTTATTTTAGTCCTGAACTTCTACAGATGGTGAATCTTTTTGCTGTTATCTCTTCATTGTGTTTATTGTTTTATAAAGCTTTAGCTTCTCCTTTTCCCTCTTCTTCTGCCTGCTCCTCTCCCCTCTCTGGCTGTCAGATTCTTAACTTGCTGTTTATGAGCCTACCATAGATTTAAAATCATTGTATAAGCTTTCACTGTGTAATATTAAAGTCTAACTTGTGTGGACAATTTTCTTGGCTGAAAATGTCATGCTATATAAATCCTGAATCTGTCTGAAAAGTGTTTGAGCTTTGGTTTAGCTCTATAAATTACCCTTTCAGACGTCTCTTCTTTCCTTGAATGATATCATTTTATCTATATAGCTGTTATTTAAGTAAAAGCTTTGTTTCATTGTTTTTTCCATTTTCAGTGCACCACAATTTAATCTTCAATTCTGAAATGGCAAAACTGAAAGCAAAATCACTTTTTAATTCACTTGCCTTTTAAATGTGACTCCTTTAAGTCTAGAGCACAGATAATTAGATTGAAGGAATACTACAATATCTGATAATCTGTCAGTTTTTACCTGGAACACACATAAAGAATTGTGGCAGCTGTTATTTACAGTTTCCACAACAATAAAGCTAATATGGTCCTTTAGCTTTATAAAAAGCTGGAAGTCTTTTCTTATTTGCATAGAAAGTTTTGTATTAATTTTAAATCCAGATACAAATTTAAAAATAAAATTGCTGCCAGACTGAAAAGTTTTGCGGTCATATTCATATAACCTAAAATGTACATTACTCTCCCATCTTATTCCTGATTACTTTAAATCTTGGCTATCTCTTTGCCTTCCACTTGCATCTTAGAAGGTCAGCCCTGCTTTTCTCAAATTGTTGCCTGTTGTAGCCATGGCATCATCAGGGATAGGCTAATTGATATAAAGAATATCAGCAGTTCTTTTTGAAGACACCATGTTTGCTTAAATAATGGTTCTTGTGCATATAGACCTCACATGGACATAGAGGCTAATACTGTAAATATGTATGCAGTCTCCGCCATATTGTATGTCTGTCCACAGAATCTCACATACAATTGTTCAGTCTTACAGACTAAATTAGGGCTTTCCGTGTTATAGATACTGTTGGTGATCAATTCTTCAGCCTTTTTAAACATGATATTCCGCAGTAATTTTTCCAGGACATTGGGTTACTCCTACTGTCATTTTGTATCTAATTTATTGCTGGAAAAGACACAATCTTTTGCTTTCATTGGAGAGCTTACACAGTAAATCCTGCGGATGTATGCATATGGCAAGTTTGATTGAATGCTAAATCATTTTATGATTACCCTAATGTTAGTTATTATAATGTGAAGAGTTAGATCAGGTTAACAATATTTTAGAAGAATTCAGATTGATGGGTCTATTTAGAGGGGAAAACTTTTTTTCTTGTATGCACATAGGAAAATAATTCCAAAACCATTAAGTTACAAGAAGCCTACTCATGATAAATTACTTTCGTATCACATGAAGGAAGCGTAAATACATTAATCTAATCTTGTAACTTTGTTACAATTATTTTGAAGTCAAACACTTTTATATATTTTGTTGCAGGCAAGCTAAGACCTATATCTATGCCAGTAGAATATAACTGGGTAGGGGATTATGAAGATCCCACCAAGACAAAAAGAGATAGCAGGAGAGGTAAGTGACCTCAGACACAAATTGTACATTTAATTGTGTTTTAATATACATTTATAGAAATTATTGAATATATTTATAGAAGTTATTAAAATGTAAACTGTCCTTATTATTCCAGATCATTCTACACAATGCAGGTTATGTGGTTAATGTTTGAGGATTCTTATTAATGGTTCATTACCAGTGTCACAAATTGGCAGTTAAGAACAAATTGCCAACTTCTTCTCAATTTTATAAGACCATTCGTGATACTATTGCAATTTGATTCCCAGAGTGAAGCAGCAGGGAAATAATTGAAACTCAGCCCTAGCTTTTGAGGAATTTCCCCACACATATTTGAACAACATAATTTAAAATCTTATTATTTCAATGTTATTATTATTTCACAAATACTCTTGTGAGAATATATGAGATGTTATAGAATTCATCTTGATAATACATATTCTTCATATTCGTTTTAGTTCAGTGACACATACTCCAGGTAAGCTTGGATAAGCTTGCGGCCTAAGAGCCCTTGAAGGCAAGGATAATGTCGGCTACTGGCTGGCCCTGAGTAGAAGGAGGATGCTTAGGTGGGCTGGCAGAAGCTTCCTAATAGAGATGAGAAAGCTGTAGTGGTGCAATGAGGGGAGAAAAGAAGTTGAGGGTGAGATGAGGAGATCAAATCAGATCTACAGCTTCTGTTTATTTCTCTCCTCCTCTAGTTTGCACCTGACTGCATAAAGGCAGTGTGCATTCCCCTGTTTTAGAGACCCTTCTCCTTCCTTTTCTTTTTAAAAAGAATACACAGATCTGCAAACATTAGGGCTCCCTTGAGTCCTGAATGGTATACATAAGCACTGACAGTCACCCCATGAAGTTAGCAAATAGATAGTACTATATAATTCCCCCTTTTTCTCATAGTTGATGATAATATAAAGTTATTTTAAAAGTTTGAATGAAAATAAGAAACGTTATTCAAGCAAAGCAGAATATACAGTATAGTTTCTATGATTCTCCAAACATTTTTATTGAATTGTTTGCAGAGCTTGGTTAAGGAACAAAATCAGCTTTCATTTAACATTACAGTCAGATTCCCGTAGTCTATTCTATAGAAAAATATTATAGGAAGGTTTGGTCTGAAAAGTCTGTGTTAAAACGAGTAGCAGCATTGGAGGCATGTAATACAGTGGTATCTCTGGTTATGTGCTTAATTCATTCCGGAGGTCCGTTCTTAACCTGAAACTGTTCTTAACCTGAAGCACCACTTTAGCTAATGGAGCCTCCTGCTGCTGCCTCACGATTTCTGTTCTCATCCTGAAGCAAAGTTCTTAACCCGAGGTACTATTTCTGGGTTAGCGGAGTCTGTAACCTGAAGCATATGTAACCTGAAGCATATGTAACCCGAGGTACTACTGTAGTGGAAGGCATAGAAGTTTGTGGTGCACTGGAATACTATCACTCCAAAGTAAGATGCAAGGTTGTGCTGAATTGCTATAGGTGTTTATTGCAATGTAAGATAAACCTTTTGTTTTATGTGGATTTCAGTTATGTGGTAAAATTCTGCATTTTTATGGATAAATAACTAAATAACAGCAGGAAGAGATTATAGAGTGAAGCTAGCATATAGCTAACTTTTTGTTCTAGCCAAAGCTGCAAGTGGATTTATCCATAGATAATGAGAGTTAGCACAAGCCAATGATGCAATATAAGTGTTTGTATTAAACAGAAAATAGCTTTCAGAATAGGGTGCTCAGTTGCCCTTTGTAGATGTTCTACTGAGCCCTAATATTGTGTAATATTGTGATAAAATAATAAAACCAATATGTACACTGTGCACCATTATTTACTGGATTTTATGGTATTAAACATAGAATTTTAGCATTATTGTGTATTTCAGTCCAATGAAAGGCAGGTTTGAAGGCAGGTTGTCCTGATTCCAGCAAAATATGTCCTGAACAGCTGGACAATTAAGAACTGGTTTTCAGTATAACCTTTCCAATTTCTACCTAGAAAATTCATTACTTCGGTATATGAGCAATGAAAAAATAGCTCAAGAGGATTACATGTTTCAAAGAAACAGCAAAAAGGACACAGGCAAAAAATCTAAAAAGAGGGGAGATAAAAGCAACAGTCCTAGTCATTATTCTCTGCTACCTAGTTTACAAATGGATTCATTAAGGCAAGACAGCATGAGCACACCTGGGCCTGAAACATCTTTATATCACGTGAGTAAAATTACAAAATAGTTCACTCTATGTTGATGCTGTTGTTGAGTGACTGACACATGACCATTGGTTGTTTTTTAAATTTTTGGTAAGAAATGAAGCAAAGAAGCATGGCAGTTAAGTGTAATTTGCCCTTCAGTTGTATTGAATGATGAGGATAAGAAGCTGGAGCTCATTGCTATATACACCTTCTTTTTTGCAAATTCAATTAGATCAAAATAGAATTAAAATGTAAATCATGCAGTCATATTCATATGATCCCTGTTGTTTTCATAACTACTGTGGAAAGATTAGAAAATATAGTCACCAATTTTATTTTGAATTGAAAATAATGAATTTAGGTAACCACTCAAAAAAGAACTATTAAAAGACCATTAAAATCCTGCAAAGTGAGGGGAAAGCCAATACTTCCCCACCCCCAGTGCTCTCTTACTCTTTTTTTTTAGTGAACTAGCAAATGGATTTAAAGACATCCAGTCTTTGTGGGACTTTGTGTTTCTGGCTGTGTCCCAGTTTCTGTTGTCATTGAGTGTTGTCAAAGCAGATGATTCTCCACTGAGCCCAATTTAAAACCAATGACCTGCTTTTATTCCAGCAAACTCATTTTATTGCTTCCCTTGAAGCCTGGGTGACTGAAATAACTTAAAGTATTATAGGAACCCAATTCACGGTACATGTGAATTAACAGAATCCCTAGGGCCTGTGGATATTCTTGTATTTTATTTTCATAATGAATTGATTCATGTACAGTTGTGGGGAATTTTCTCACATGATAAATTTATTGTCATATATTTTAATAATACAGAACAAATCTATGGACTGTCATCAGAGTCATCCAGGATGATCCAGGATATATGAACAAAAATTGCTTTTTTTTTTTTTGGTGACATCTGTTTGCCTATATGCACAAAGCAAAGCAAGATGAATGGTTTTGCATATCTTAATCAATTGCATCCATTTAAGACATGGATTTCATTTTTTGTTTTGGATGTGATGGCTGTCTTTCTTGGAGCTTAGTTAAATGTTTTGCAACAAGGAAACAGCTGCTTCATAAAATAATTTGTATTAGTGCTATCTTTAAAAATATAAATTATCTAGTTAAGATTTTTTTTTATTGATACTCTAAGCTTTTGTAAATTTTCCTGTAAATACAAAATTTGATACAAACAATTTTTGCTATTTTGGTCTTTAAAAGTAATGAAATTAAATAGGAGGTGATCCTTGTTTATTTTCCTGAATTGTACACATCAGTCAAACAAGAGTCTGAATCGAAGCACTGAAGCCATTTAGACACTGAAGAATTTAGACAAAATATCAGTATAAAGAAAGGCAAGGGGGACCTATGCAGGAGCACACCTCATTAACAATATATTGGACTGATATTATGTCTAAATTCTGGCAGACAGGGCCCATGCTGCTATAATTGTTCTGTTTTTAATTATTTCAACTGCTCTTAATTTGTGGGGGGTTGTTTTTACTGAGGGAGGGGAGGGGAGGAGCTGGAGAGGGCATCGGGGTCCCCATCATAGTGGTTCAGGGTAGGAAGAGATACGGTGTGGGAGGTGGGGAAGGCAAGGTAAGGGGCACCTAGCACAGGCAATTAGTGACTATGCCATGTGCCAGCCCCTCCTCCAACCTGAACAATTGCAGTTGTCCTACCAGCCAGCCATCGAGTCTGCAGCTGCTGTTGCTGAATACCAGGTTAGCTCTAAATAAGAGCTCCCTCACCAATGAGTTGATTATGGATGATGAGGCCGATCTGTATCACTTTATCACTGGCCTGTGTCACTGGGTGAGTGAGCAGGGTGGAGTTGGTCTCACTCAGCTGTGCTCATTTGGGTACTCTCCCTTTCTTGGGCAACGTTCTTGAGCTTATGGTCTTGGAGGGATATAATTTTCTAGATCCATCTCAGTTGGCAAGAGCATTCTTCTCCCAGACTTTTGATTAATTACAGCCTTTTAACCTGGGTTTTTCTTTCTTTTATTATGTTATGTGTTTTTATATTGTCAGCTGCCCTGTGATCCTCAAGTGAAGAGCAGTATAGAAAATGACTGAATGAATGAATGACTTGAAGGGACAGGGCATAAACAACTTGGACCTTCAAAGTCCATTAACATGAAACTGTTGAAATCTGGTGATAATGCTGTCGTGAAATTGTCCTATTGAACTATTAGTCTCTAGTCTTCTGAGTTAACATGGCTAGGCAGACATACCCGAACCTTCTCACAATTGCCATTACTTTCCATTTAGTTAAAGAGGAAAGTTCACAGAGATAATTGTCATCTTCTACTGTATACTTTTGAAGAATTAACAAAGAGGATTGATTAGATTTGGAAATTGCTGTGTGTGTGTGTAGTAGTGTACACATGGGAAATTGTATGCTTTTTCATAATTGGACCAGAAATGCCTTGTTAACTTGTTGATGGAGCATTGGTGCTCCTCAGTCCATGAAGTGAAAGCATCTATTAGAGCCGCAAACACTGAAAAGTCAAAAGAGCTCTTTCTTTAATATTGGGCCAATGCAATCCTTATATTCAGTAAACATGCTTTTGATGTAATGATTTGTCATATTGAACAAAACCAGTAATTGTAGAACTGTTGAAAATGCAGGAAAACAGATTTTAAGTAGGTGTTTTAAGTTCTTGAAACTTGTTATCATCCATTGCTGCATATGCTGCTTGATATTTCCACTTTTCCAGTTTCTTGAAGTCCTGATAGTAGTATCTCCAACATACCTTGGCTGTCCATTCCACCCCACACCACTGCTTTCATTGAATACCTTTGCAATTCCTTTCAGTTGTTATGAGCTCTTTTCCCACAGCCACAAGTTGCTATGGAGGCATATTCATAGAGAAAACTACTGAAAAATGCCTATCACAACCATCAGCCAAGGTCTTGACTTTCTGTGCCAGTTATGCTTTCTGAGCTCAACTGTGTCTGTAGGTTTCACAGATAACATTGTTTGGTGGTGCCATTGAGCTACTCAGGGAAAGCAGAGGTGGGAATAGGGTTTTGTGTAGCAGATGTTTTTAAGGACAGTCTGAGTGGGGTAATAATGTCCAAACAACAAAAAACAAGGTACGGTAATTCATCCCAGTCCATATCAGGTGCCCTACTTTCAAAAAAATATATAAATCACACAATTACTAACTGGGCAAATCAAAACTTGGTAATTACTCTGTTTTGAGAAATCTGACCCTGGTCAAAACAACCTCCATCTCAATTGTTAGGGAAAAGTAAATTAACTGCAGGGCCAAGTGCACTTATCAGCCATTCCATAATGCATTCCATCTGAACAGAGCTTGCAGGACGCAGTTTAAGAGAACTTCTACTCTATGGTTTGTGTTGTTGTACATGAAGTACTGTGGTACAATTGGCACACATTAACCAAACTATTGTGTGTGTTTTTCTTAGACATTTCAACAATCCTCTCTACAGCATAAGTCTAAAAAGAAGAACAAAGGTAACTATTATGTAAACAGTTTTTACCGTATAGGTCTGGTGAAAAATTAAACATAAACATTTTTGTCTACATATATTTTAAACATGACAATTCTAAAACAGACACACTCCAATTTTGTAACAATGCTGCTATGTGCTGCTGGGATAGCTCAGTTGGTAGAGCGTGAGTCTTTTAATCTCAGGATCTTGGGTTCAAGCCCCACGTTGGGCAAAAGATTCCTGCATTGCATGGGTTGGACCTCATGGTCCCTTCCGAATGCTATGATTCTATGAAACATTCATAATTTTCTCAGCGCATGTTGCCATTTCCTCCAGTGGTCTTAATGACCTTAAGCCAGGGCATCTCCTATGAGAATTGTATGACCTTAACTAGGCCTTAACTCTGTTTTCCATCTGTCAGGCATAGGCAAACTCAGCCCTCCAGATGTTTTGAGGCTACAATTCCCACCATCCCTGACCACTGTTCCTGTTAGCTAGGGATGATGGGAGTTGTAGTTCCAAAACATCTGGAGGGCCAAGTTTGCCTATGCCTGATCTAAGTAGTAGATTATGCTTTAGTCATAGCTACATATTAGAATGGATGGAGAGAAGTTCCACCCCAAAAGAAACCTGAACCACAACAATGCATTCCAGCTCAGGACAGAAGTATTATATGGGTACATGAATCATCTCTGACATCATCATGTTCTTCTAAGGTCTCGCACCAAGTAAGAGTAAAAGGCGAATTTCTTGTAAAGATCTTGGTCGTGGAGACTGTGAAGGCTGGCTCTGGAAAAAGAAAGATGCCAAGAGTTATTTCTCACAAAAATGGAAGAAATACTGGTTTGTCCTGAAGGATACTTCTCTCTACTGGTATATCAATGAGGAGGTAAGAAACTGACATGTTTGGTGTTCTTCTTGCAGACGGATGTGACTGCACTGAACAATATGGCTACAGTCCAAAAACATGATATATGCATGTGGTGAAGAACCATATATAACCGCCCAAACTTGATTTGGTCATTACATGTGTAGGGTTTTGTTTTTGACTGTCTGTACTGGAGAGACAAACTACCTTTAATATTGGCTTTTCCCTTCGGCAGTGGAAACAAAAAGTGCAGTTCTGACACTGTGCACAGCTCTCTCCTGTCCATGTTTTAAATTAGCGATTCCAAGAGCCATGCTAAATATTGGTAACATAGGTTTTCTTCTTCTTCATTTAAACAAAGATAGCCTGGATACACTAAACATTCACCATGCAGAAAAATTATATCAGCAGATGCTATGGCCCTGATTCAGAAGCCATACAATTTCAGGAGTTCCCCATATAAATGAAATGCTTCAGATACCAGCAGCCCATTACATGCTCCATTTCTTTCTCATACAATATAATGTGAATCCTACACTTACCTTGGGTTCAGTATCAGTATTGTATGTCTCAATCTCTGACATTGATTGGTGGAACTGGTTTGATGGTGTGGAATGTAAAGTTGTGCAAGACCTAAATAGTTTGTAGTGCATCTTTTGTGAGGAAATTGAGTATTGTGATTCGAGGACCCGACCCCTGCTTGGGAATAATAAAGACACGTGGACACAGTATATAAGGTTAATGGGCTAGAAAAGGCCACAACTTTATTGATTACAGCATGTGAGAGGTATTGACTTAGGCATTGGACAACAGCAAATATGACTCCATCCACTCGGAGATGGGGTGAGTCTGACGAGGGTTAACCACCAGTAGGGAGAGCCTGTTGATGCAAGTACAACTATAAGCTCTCCCCTGATGTCACCGGGGGTCGTGCCATGGCCCCCCGCCACACAGGGCATTGGACAGGATCCACGACTACCAGATTCCTTTAACAGAATACCCATAAGTGAAGGGGTAGGCAATGGCCACACCTTGCCCTTCCATACACCATCAACACATTCCAGTGCCTAACCGCCAAATACCAAGAAAGTTGTGACGATTGCTACGAGGTAGGCGGAAAAAAACCAAGAGGCCGGTGCCAATTTGCCACTTGGAAAAAACTCCTACCAGGCCCCCTAGGCAACCAGGGCAACCAACCATAGGTCCATAGCAAGGTCAAGCGAGAAGATACGCACTAAAGGGAGTGGTGGGTGGGTGACTCGAGGAAAATCAGAGCGCAATGGCGGGGAGAACTGGCGCGGCCGCATTTGAGCGGCTAGACCACGCCCCCGCACTGTCATCCCATTGGGTGCCCATCTGGGAGGTGTGGCGCGCCAGCGATGATGGCAGGGGACGGAACAGCTCCCAGTCACAATCCCTCCCCTCCGGAAGGAGGAGAGGCTTTGTTAGTTTGACTGGAATTAGAACTCCACATGGGACAAAACTTAGGATGGAAGAATGTCACAAGAAACAGGCAATATTCCTGGAGGATGAAGAAAAGATGTAAAGAAGGCAGTTGACTGAGAAAGAAGAATCTGATAGAAATGTAGGTGAAAAGTGAGGCTTCAGTAAAAGAGCTAAGGAGGTAGAGAATTGAGACAAGGAATTAATGAGAGCTCTGAAGAGCTCTTAGCAGTTAAGATGAGAAGTGAGAAGGAGGGGAGAGTGTTAGGATGTTGATTAAGATACAGGATGACTAACTGAAGTAAGACAAAGTTGGCAGTGACCTAAGGTCCTGAGGAAACTCTGGGTCATGGAGATACGTAGTTGAAAAAAGGAGGAAAATTAGCATCAGGGCAAAAGTATACATAGAACTGGCAAGCACATGTGACTGAGCAGTATTGGCAGAAGGGCTGGGAAAAGGCAAGGAATAGAATAAAGGGGATACAGAAATGCTAGATCTGAAGTGTAGATGCTAGCAATAGAATTCTGGAAATTGTTGCTTTGGCTGTTATTGCAAAGTTCTGCTTTTGCAACCCCAAGGAAACAGCGAGGAAGAGACAGCAAGATGACAGTAACAAGAGTAGGCAACTAAATTTCCACATTTTTGGCCCAGTTCAAATGTAACAATTTTTACTCTGTGTACTCACACATTTGTTCATTCTTGCTAGGCTATCGTTTGGCTTAGCATTTTGTACGAACCAGACCATTGTTTTAAACTAACCAGCCAGTTCTTTCAGCTGCAGACTTTTAGTGGATCCAAATTGCATTGTGCTTCTAATACTATGTTCTTTGTTAAAAACTGCATGTTTAAGTTAATTGTGTATGCTTCTACTGTCCAAGTTAATGTGAATTGCCCCCAAAGAGAAATGGTTGAAGACATAGTTTAAGTTGTTCTTAAAAATAATTATTTTTAAAGTGATGTTTTCACCTTTCTGGCAAGATGCTTCCATTAATTTTTGTGGAGGTTTTAATGAAGCAATAAATCAGAAATTGTTATATTGTGACAAGAGATAGTTCAGTATGCTTGTATTTGTTTTCTTTTTGATTGGCTTCTGGTTTTGCTCTTGTTCTTTAATCTGTTCATCTTCATAGGATGAAAAAGCAGAGGGATTCATCAGTCTGCCAGAATTTAAAATTGATAGAGCTAGTGAATGTCGCAAGAAGTAGTAAGTACTAGAACAATATTCAAAAATAGATAAAACTGTAAACATTGAACAAACATGATTTTGATAAAATGTTCCATTATTGATGCCTTTGTCTGGTAGTATTTATCTTTGTGCAACTTCAATCACTACTGCTACTACTAATTAATATATATTATCATTTGCTACTTTAGATACTCACCAAGTTCATTCATGGTATTTAGGAATAGGTGTTTAGGAATGGCTGCTCACCCCCTTCTCAGGTAGACTGTGGTTGCAGACCTCACTTCCATCCACCGTCCCAGCAGCTAGGGCCCAGTGTGTCTTGGCAGCCCTTAGGGGAATTCCCCAGCCAGCAGAATAAAGGAGCAGGGATTCCTTGCCAAAATGCAAGCTTTGAATGGGCCAATAGGAGGCCCTGCCAGATGGGCAGTACAGTGGTACCTCGGGTTACAAATGTTCCGGGTTACAAACGCTTCAGGTTACAGACTCCGCTAACCCGAAAGTAGTACCTCAGGTTAAGAACTTTACCTCGGGATGAGAACAGAAATCGCGCAGTGGTGGTGCAGCGGCAGCGGGAGGCCCCATTAGCTAAAGTGGTACCTCAGGTTAAGAACGGTTTCAGGTTAAGAACAGACCTCCAGAACGAATTAAGTTCTTAACCAGAGGTACCACTGTACATTGCTAGCTGGCTGGGCATTGGCTGTGGGCTACGCCTGGTCACCCAGCAATACATAGGGCATGATTTTTTGTTGTTGATGTGCTTGGTTACTGTTTTTGAGGCTTGGATAGTTCACCTTTACTTTTAACTGATTATATTATCATAATACATTTTAATTCTTAATATGTGATAAAGCAAAATTCACTTTTTCTAAACTAATGTTGACTTCAATTTGGGAAAAAATATATAAGATAATTAATAGTAGAATACACAAGAATGTCATTTGGGCATCCAGCCAAATCTTTCACAAAGCTGTAACTTGGTATGGATGCCAACCTCTATGTGCAGTTCAGTGCCTGTTTAGATTAATAGTGGATTGTGCCAGTGTAATACCCTGCGGTCTAGAATGTAGATCTGATGTTTCAGATGTTGACAGTAATGCTTTTTATAGTTGGTTGAGAGGGAAAGGACCTATGAAATACCTCATTACTGTGAATAACTTCATGATTACAAGTTCAACAGCTTGTCAGAAATTAAGACACATTTGCTTTTTCTGTTCAACTATTGAGTTTTAAAGTTGAAAGTAAAGCCAGAAACACTGTAGTATGAAAAATCATAGGGACTTCCTGTGAAGTATAATTTGGCCAAATGGTATTATATCCAGAAACGTTTATGATATATTTGCCTACTAAATACAAGTGCCCCAGTAAATAAACTGCTTCATATTTATCAAAAGTATACTGAGTCAAGATAGTGTTTAACTTGACACCATGTTCAGATAGATTTAATTAGGGTGTAATCCTGTCCACACTTACATAGGATTAAATACAACTCAGTGGATCTTACCTCCACATAGACATACATAGGATTACATGCTTACTGTATCTTTTCACACAAGTATATCCCAAAATGTGTATAAAGTGCAAATGTTCTTGATTTCAGAGTAGAATTGAAACATATACAAAATATAGATGATATACAGTGTGGCCAAAAAGTAGGTATACAGTCAATCAATCAATCAAGGATTATTTTTCTTTACTGATACTGATGAATGATGAGAACTTGAGTCAAGGACAAAGAAAGTGGATTCTAAAGCAGTATACCTACTTTTGGGCCAGCCTTTTAATACTGAAAAATAATTTTGTATACTTAATATTTCACCCATGGTGCTTTGTTATTTCCCCCCCTTCCAGTGCATTCAAAGCTTGCCATCCTAAGATCAAAAGCTTTTACTTTGCTGCTGAGCATCTAGATGACATGAGCAGGTACTGTAACTTAATTTATGTAATGAATCATTCTTGAGTATTTTTGGTATTTTTATAGTATTCACCACTTTATTTTATCAGTCCAAAAGGCCAATGAAAAATTTATTCCCTGAATGTGAGTAATATAAGAGATATATATATTAATTAATTGGTGTGTGTGGTGAAGTGGTTAGTGTTGGGAGTTAAGGGTTCAAATCCCCACTCAGTCATGAAACTTAGAGCTTAGGCCAGTCACAGTCTCTCAGCCCAACCTACGTCACAGGGTTGTTGTAAGGATAAACTTTGGAGGAAGAGAGCCATGTATGCCACCTTGAGCTCATTGGAGGAATGGTGGGATATAAATGTTATATCCCTGAATGTGAAGTATACAGTGAGGGGATAATATTGGAGAGGAGCTAGTGGAGGGTAAAAGGTGGCTTTTGCTAGGATTATGGGAAGTGAGTGGATTTGGCAAAGAATAAGGAGAAGGGGTGACTTTGGCAATGAGTAAGGGGAAGGGTGACTTTGGGGGGAGTAGACAAAGTTGGTGAGTGAAGCAAGCAGTGCATCCGTGTGTGTGTGTGTGTGTGTGCGCGCGCGCACACACACACACACACACACTGACACTGATCCAGCAAGGATCAGTTTTTAAGCATGGATTATTTCCTCTGGAAAAACAAGAAGCTGCTATGAGTGTAAACATCTGTTGAATGCTCTGATTAATTATCCTGCCTAGTTCTGGACTTAATCCAGATGCAGTGTTCGATATAATTAGCCAGTTAAGAGCAATTTAAAGGAGCCCAAATTACCTTCAACTATTTTGAAACTAAAATCAATTTCATTTTTATCAAAGTGAAAATATATTAAGACAAATCAGTCCATGGAGGGTACTGTACCCCAGTTTCAATTTTCTCTGGCATTTCTTCGTCAAAAATTGCTTACAATTTTTCACTGTTTCCTGAGTACACCACATATACAGTATATATTTCAAGTGTTCAAGGATCACATAAGTGCTTATACACACTAATTGTTCATGAAGTACAACTGGCCCATAAATGTGTTGTTTTCCGTAATGGGGTTCAGTTAGCATTGTTTACAGTGAACATCATAGTAATTATTATTTCCAAATGTTCAGTCACCCTGGAATGTCTTTTGGGGCTCTGATACATGCATTCATACACATGAACAGCATAAGCAGTGACTGTCCATTTATCTTGAGTGCTAGGAATGCTAGTGAAGACAGGTACACAGAATATTCCGGGCTCTTAAAAAGAACAATTTGTGTACATCAGAGCTCTGAAGACTACATATTAAGGTGACTAAATGAGTACAATATGTTCTAGTGCAGCCGTATCAAACTGCCAACATAGTAGTTGCCAGAACATAGTTTCCAGTAATTAAGAAACTTGTGAAATGATCTAGAGGCACAATGAGTCTTTGTGACACATAGCTCATATACATTTTTCAAAGGGTACTTAAGTCATTCTTGCAAATTACCATGATTAAATGTCAACTTAACTGCAACCATCAAAGATTGTACTGTCTCTTAGATATAGAAATTAATTTAAGTTCATTTTAATTCCTTTCTAGAGACAAAATGCCTCCTTGTTTCCATCTTCTTTTTTTAAGAAGTCCAACATGGAAAAAAAATTCAACTGTTCCTTTGATTTCAAAATAGTGATGGAAGATCTGAGTCTGGGCAGGGCTAAATGTGAGGCAGGACTCTGTCTCAAACCTGTTTTCCATGTTGCTGCTTTGCTATGAACTAGCAATAAAAATAGTGCCTATCTAGCTGTGCCAGGAATCACATCTGGGATTAAAGCAATAATCAGGCTCTCCTGCCAATATTATGCACCCATTATTTTCACTTGGAAACTAACTATTGGCAGGACTGGCCTGACTGATGAAATAGACCTCTACTGACTCAAAATGTGGAAATCATCATAAGAGAAGCAACTGATTTTACAGACAGTTTAGTTCTTTTGTTCGTACTGCATTATCAATGGTCCAACACAGACAACCATCTTAACCAAGTAGTCTTCTACCCTGATTGTTGTTGGGTTTTTTTTTAAAAAAAGACGTAGTATGGAGTTTCTGCCACACTTTCTAATGTGTGGTAAAATTGGGAGCCTTATGAAGTGGCAAATCTTCGCCATTTACCCTATTTGCCATTTGTTTTCACCTATGAAAACACTTTTGACTTTAGAACCATTTATTTAAAATAAATTATGGCTTCTGACAAGCTGTATCCATTATGTATTTATAAATTGGGACAGGGGGTTGTTAGAATTCCTGAGCAACACCTGACACTTTCAACTTGCTAGTATATATAGGAGTTAAGGTCTTCCTATATGCCTTGGTGGTGATGGTTGGTGGTGGTGTTTTGAAATTATTTTTATTAGTTTTCCAAATTATTACAAATCAAACCAAATTACTTTAATTTAATACAATTTCTTCCTATATGCCTTTGTTAATGGGCAATAAAGTGAGAACCCTTTCACTCTGAAATTTGGCAAGTGTTATTCCTGGTGGTGGGGTAGTAAGTAGAATGCCTGGAAATTGCATTAAGAAGCACAGACGTTACAGGCAGAATAGCAGCTGGGTCATCTGTTGAAATCAATGGGAAGAAGTCTAGGGAATTGGAAGTCTGATTTAGCGTAAGGTTTGAAATTTTTTTACTTAAAAGAATTATTTTTCCTCTCTCTTCCTTCTTGATGCACACAAAGCTTCTCCTATCTCTTTGTTATACTATATGATACATGTGCTTCAAAATTGGAGAGTGAACTTTTTTCCTGCTGTTATGACAAATAAGGCTTTAAATGTATTGACGAAAACTTTGTAACAGGATTTGATCTTGAGAAATTGGAACAGAAAGAATTATTCAGTATGATGACGTATTTGTGAGCAATATGTAACAGATCTTTGAATACCTTGAAATGTTTCATTTTAAGGACTTCCAGCATCCTTGTTCAAGGTTTTCTATTTGAAACAACATTGTATATGTCAAAATAGTTTTACAAGAAAATTCCATCTAACAAGACAGCTGAATGAAACATAGGTCTTGCTGCCTTATCTTGTCAAGAAGCTGTAAATATTCGAATAAAAGACCACATACAAAGTCATGTAACTTGTTAAAGCATTGTCAGTGATACATTTAAAATATTATTACAGGTGGTTAAACAGAATTAATATGCTTGCTGCTGGTTATGCAGAAAGAGAGAGGATCAAACAAGAGCAAGGTATGGTATAATTATTTTGTTTGTTTCACTTAACCTCCCTACTTAAAGGATATGTATGCTGTGCCTTATTGCAGAACCCTTATTTTCTTATTTAAGAATATTCCCTCGGTTACCGCAACTGTTGTTCTTATGCAGTACTTTATTCGAACACATAGGAACTTTAAAAAATATTCAGGGCATGTTTGACTACAAAAAAGGACCTGTTATATATGTGCTGATGATTGATGGATCAGGTTTTTTCCTTAAAGCATATTGATTTTATATATTTAACTTTGGAAAGTCACTAAAGGCTGATTACATTTTTATTTTTTCTAATTCTTTAGTAGGCCAAAGTGTGCTTAGCAAATGATACAGAGATAAAGAGAGGTGTAATAAAACAGTGTCATTTTGTTTAGTAGATAGCACTGTGAGGAAAGGGAGTGAGATAACTGAGGATTCAGCCGTACAGCTGCAAATAAAATGTTTTAAGTGTGTTTTAAGTGCAATATACAATATGACACTAGTTGGCAATGGTGAGCCTTATGGAAAATTAACGTATTTTTAAAAAGCTTTTAAAAAGGCATTTTCAGAACTTTTTTATATCTGTACATTGCAATTATAAATTGAAGCTAAGCCAATGTAAAATACTGTCTCCTGTCTGGAGTGGTTGTTCCTCTAATCAGAAGATTTGGGGTTGACCTGTCAGACTGCCCTGCAGCCTGCTGGTGTTCCTTTTAATTGCAGGGCAATTCATTGCCATTAACAATTATACATGACAGGACTGGTGTGTCATATATACAGTGGTACCTCAGGTTACATATGCTTCAGGTTACATACGCTTCAGGTTACAGACTCCGCTACACCAGAATAGTACCTTGGGTTAAGAACTTTGCTTCAGGATGAGAACAGAAATCGTGCTCCAGCGGCGCGGCGGCAGCAAGAGGCCCCATTAGCTAAAGTGGTGCTTCAGGTTAAGAACAGTTTAAGGTTAAGAACGGACCTCCAGAACAAATTAAGTACTTAACCCAAGGTACCACTGTAACTGGGATCTCAGTGGGTGATTAAACTGGAAGGATTCTATCCTAGCTATGTATCCCAGAAGGAACAATCCTGTCAGCTAAGCTGGCTTCAATGGCAAGGAGTGCATATTTCCATCTATGGCTGGTTTGGCAGCTATGGTCATTCATGGACCAAGATAGATTGCCACCAGTAACTCATGCTCTAGTGACCTTAGTGTTTGTTTATTGCAATGTGTACTGTGTGGGACTGCCCTTGAAAACTGACCAGAACATCTCTCATTTGTTGTGCTTGGCTGGCTCTTTGCTTTACCAGGATGCCAAGACCCATGGAACAAGCATAGAGACAATTGTGTACAGAGAACACAAGTACGGATCATCATAGTGCCTACTCTATGCCAGTGATGGTGACAAAACATACTTATTTCTCCACCACTGTTTTATTCTCAAATAGCAGTCCTGTAGAACTTTGATAAAGGGATTATTACAACACAGCTCAAGGATGGTTGTATTAGAACCCTTGAAGGCCTGCTTTTATTCATTAGAATGAATTATGAGGATGGCTCTTAAAATCCACATTAACATATATCTTCCATTGCTCCCCTTTTCTGATTATGACACATGAATTTTGAAGAACTTGATTTCTGCAATAATACAGGGTTGTTGTTGTTGTTTTAATTTGTATTGTTTAGATTATTGGAGTGAAAGTGATAAGGAAGAAGTAGACACACCATCAACACCCAAACAAGACAGCCCACCTCCACCATACGACACATACCCACGACCTCCTTCGGTAAGTGTTCATTTGAAATAACTAGCTGCCATTGACCCAGAGTGAGAATACAGAAATACTTTTTGGGTAGTAGCTCTTACGCAACCTTCATCCATTTCAACTGAGTTTGCACTTTGGGGTGAATGATGTTGCAAGTATCCTGTATAAATGCTTGATGTCAGGGGAATTATGTTTGTATATATTCAGTTTTTTGGTCCTGTATCAAAATATAATGTAAGAATAAATACCCTGAACCACTGCATAGAACAACAATCATGACTGGTATATAGGATCTTTATTTATACCTTCGCAGGATCTTACATTTAAAAACATCTTCCAGTTCTCATTAAAACAGTTAAAATAGTAGAACAGCTGCTTTATTAAAAAGATTTGTTAAGAAATAGGGTCTTTATTAGACTATCCTTCGAGGAACAAATTTAAATATGTACATTGCAATTATAAATTGAAGCTAAGCCAAGGTAAAATACTGGCAGCATTCCTACTTTAACCAACATGAACTAAGTTTCTCACAAAAGCTTATCCTCCTTCAGATAAGAATAGATTCTGTGCTTCCTTTCAAGTTCTTTGTGTATTAAAAAATAGACTTTTCTATTACAAAACAAGTAGACCATACAAAATATTAATACATAATTGTACAAATGGCCAGATATTAAAGGGTATCCTTAATATGCCATCAGATGTGAAGTAATGCTGATGTAAGGAGAGCAAACAATAAGCTTGTATGATAGATGCATTTGAGTAAACTCTCCAGGAGATAGAGGTGAATTTTTTTCCATACCATAGGAAACCTATTTTTCCAGATCCTCTTAAAATCCTCTTCCCAATTTCAGCTATATTCTTTTGAGGTCTATAGGAAGCAGGCTGCATATTTTTAAATGTTTCCTCAAGAACTTTAGTTTTTGAAGCTAGTTCAAGTGCCAGAAGAACATACTAGATCATCCAAAGAAATGCTAAGTTCATTTGGGAAGTCTGGATGTGATTGTGTCATTTTCAAAAAGGAAAATGCCTGGTAAAGAGGAGACTGAGAGGAGATATGATAGCCACATTCAGATATCTAAAGAGTTGTCATATGGAAGATGGAGCAAGCTTGCTTTTTTCAGCCCCAGAAACTAGGACCCGAACCAATGGCTTCAAGTTACAAGAAAGGAGATTCCAATGAAACACCAGGAGAAACTTTCTGACAGGTAGAGCTGTTTGGCAGTGGAATAGGCTCCCACAAGAGGTGGCAAACTCTCCTTCATTGGAGGTTTTTAAACAGAAGTTCAATGACTATCTGTAATGGATGCTTTAGTTGAGTTTCTTGCATTGCAGGGGGACGGCTAGATGACCCTTGGGGTCCCTTCCAACTCTATGATTCTATAAAATAAGTCGTATTTTCCCATGCTAGCTTTGAAGCTCTGACTTTGCCTAGCTGATTTTCTTTTTATTTTCAACTATGCTAAAGGAGTCACAGAATAGCGTTGTTTCAAGAGGCATAACTGAAATCACATGAAGTCATCTTTGATCTTACATTAGAATTTCCATATCCAGCAAAGAGATTTTTTGCAAGCTATCTTTTGTGTTTTTGCCAACTGTGTCCTGACTGAATGACTGCACTGTGCATGAATGCCAATATGAGTAGCAAGGCATTTCCTCAGCTACAGTCTCAGTTTCATTCCACTACCACTACACCATTCAGTTTGTGAAGGTGTCAGGGGTGCTATAACACACAGTTGGAAGTTAAAGTTGATGAATGGTTAATCTCAAAGCTTCTGCTTAACACCCTCCCACTGCACTGCCTGCCTCAAAAAATCTCATACTCCTTTCTGCAGTCTACCAAAAGTGTTATGCTTTGGGTGACTGCTGCTGGTTGTTTCAGCAAGACTCAAGGCATGTTAATAAATCTTGCAGCTAGAGACAAAGAAGACTTATTTGGATCACCCCAGGAGCACTTTGGAAAAGTGATTTCTTATTCCCTCTATCCAGTGCTTACCTGACCTTACAAAAGGGAAGGGCCACATGACTTCTCCACAGCTGCTTTTTCTTCCTGTATATTGCCTCATTGCCAGGTCTTTCCCAGATCTCACCTTGCAATCTGATCCTGATCATCTGTGTGGAAGACCAAGAGCATCTTTCTAGCAATTGATTCATGAGTAGGGACTATGTATTTCATCACTTTGGAACAATAGATTTGTCTCAAAATGCAACAGGGATAGAGAAATTATTCAATGGTGCACAAACCAAGTAGCTAACCCAGGCAGTCTTTATCTAAAAAGTAGTCAAGGTGACTACTCAGCATTTTACCCCTCTGTTCATTTTTGGAAGAGCTTTCAACACGATCCTGGTAGAAGATACATAGGTAATATTTGTGACAGCTTCTGGTTTCTGGTTTTTCAAACTGAAATAAAACCACCATTTAATTCTGACATTCATATAATTTGTAGTGTAGGGACTGACACTCCAGATTTTTGTATGCCACAGTAGATCCCATGAAACTGTCACAAAACACATATGGAGTTCTCTGGATTATTCTATAAAGGCTATTCATAAATTCTTATGGCATTCTGTAAATGTCAGTGACTGCATTTTCATAACTTCTTAGGAGCAAGTTTTTCCCTATTCTCCCGTGATCTGCAGGGTTTCGCCTAAAATCAGATTTTAGTACTGTTAGCTGTAACTGAACCATTATTTGAATCACTTAGTTTGGTAAGAATATTGCCTTTATTATTTAGATTAACCTTGCCTTTCAAATGCATTATGAGGGTGACTTTATCATAAAACAGCAACTCTATTAACTGTGGAATCAAGGGATCCTTAAGTATATTAAATAGCTAGCTTCATTGTAATAACAGTTGGGAGAATATCAGAGCTGGGCCCCAAAGACTGGAGTGGTAAAAAGACCTTGTAGTTATTTGACTACAAGTATTGCGAGATACATCTCCTAGGTGTTTATACAAACAGATGTCGCATACACTATTTCTTTACTGTTTTGAACCTTGGGATTTTGACTGAACGAAGCTAGATAGAAGCAAATACAACTCTTATTCAAAATGTTTGTCTGGTGTATGTGCAGGAGCATAAAGCAACAAACAATCACTTCTAAATATTGATGTTTATACCCAATATGAAACACAGAATGGCAAGGAATATAGTGCAACAAAGCCAAATAATGGTTGTACTCAAATAAATTTGTGCTTCAGATGATCCTCCTAAAATTAATTGGGTGGCTACATATGATGTATTGGGCCTTTTTGGCTGGAATACTCTATTCTCTTTCTGATAGTTCTTTTTCTAACAATTATGGTTTTGTAGATAGATTTCAGGTTTTTTTCTTTGAAATATCCTTTTATGAACTAGGAGTTGGGGAAATACATAAGTTAATAATAAAACCTATATCCTTGCTAGCTGTAGTACGTAATGACCTTTGAATATTGCAAACATTCAGCTATCTTCATAATTGATCTGAAACCAGAATCTATATTCATGTTGCAGATGAGCTGCGCAAGCCCTTTTGTGGAACCAAAGCATAGCCGACTCTCTTCCACTGAAACTTCCCAGTCCCAGTCTTCACACGAGGAATTCCGTCAGGAACCAGTTGGGAGTACTACTGAATCTCCCATCCGCAAAACAGCTAGCCAGCGACGTTCTTGGCAGGATTTAATAGAGACTCCACTGACAAGCTCAGGGTTGCACTACCTTCAGACTCTACCACTTGAGGACTCTGTTTTCTCTGACTCAGCTGTTATCTCTCCAGAACACAGGCGGCAGTCAACTCTTCCTACTCAAAAGTGCCACCTGCAGGATCACTATGGCCCTTTCCCTTTAGTGGAGGGTGAGAAAATGCAAGCCCTAAATGGGAATGGGGGCAAGCCCCGCAGTTATACTCTGCCCCGGGATAGTGGGTTCAACCATTGCTGCCACACACTCTCTGTCAGTGCCTCCAGCCATCAGGAAGAATTGCCACAGAAAGAGCAAGAAGAGGAAGAAGAGGGAAGGCAAATTGCACCAGAAAACCAAGAAGATGAAAGTAAGCACAAATTATATTTAAAATTGATTAGAAATAAGTTGCATGCAGAAAAGGGAAATTGTTTAATTGTGAATATGACTTTTAATCATACCTTTTTCTGTACATAGTAGAAATAATTAGCTTTTGACACAAAAAATAACTTTTTATGCATGCTAACTTGATAAATCAAATTTTAGAACAGCTTTATTTGCAGCACAGTTATTCTTCATGTTTATTATCATTATTTTCTGGTTTTTTTCCATGGAGGGGTATTTTGCCTATACTAGTGCGCTTCTGTCTTGGATGCTAGTTTCTTTCACAGGCATGAATTTCTTGTTTTGTGATAAGTGTGTTTGTGTTGTTCCTCAAACTTTGGAAAGAAAACATTTGATGGTGAATATGAAATATTTATTTCTAGTCCTAGGGCTCTTGCATTCTGGAAGGCTCCAATCCTGATAGTTTAAGTTAGGCAGTAGGTAGCTTTCCTAATTCAGTTTGCTCCTGCCTTCATCGAAAGCAGTCAGGCTGCCATTAAACTCCCATCTCTCCTCTGCTGAGACAATATTTTTCTTTCTTTGTATGACTTTTCAGTCTGTCTTTCTGCCTTTTGCCCTGCTTGCATTTGGCTTATTTTCTCCCCTTTGTGGCTTGCTGGTTCACATTTTCTCTATTCTCTCCTTAAAAAAACGCACTAAATTTTTTTTAAAACCAACCCCTTTGCCTCCTCTTTGTCTAGCCTCTTCTCTACCCCACTTTTTTCTTCTGGCTCTTTGGTGGAGAGTGGTGAGAGTGGAATACCAGCCTCTTTAAACACGGCTTTAGCAGGCAGCCTCAGGTCCAGGTGTGAGTTCTGTATCAGTGTTTCAGAAGTGTCCCTTTAGTGGGAATGACAGCAGAGCACCCTTCCTCTGCAGCGTCTCGTGGCTCCAGCCAGCCAGTAGCCCACAAGGCAACAGAGGCTTCTGATTGGATCTTAAGAGTAGTATTCCATTGCTAGGGTAAAGTCATCCTCCCCCCATTAGATTTGACTACAATATTTTGTCCTAGATAGGTCCTAGTTTCTCCTTTGTTGCTGTTATGGATTTCTTGTACAATTAGGCTGGCCTAAATTCCAACATAGATAGATGCTGATTTAAAAAGGCAACATGCAATGAAAGATTATTCACTGCACCATTTTCTACTGCATACTGAAAACCCAGTAGACGAATGGGTATAAAATATAAGCATAATAGCTACTGAGCATACAAGCCAAAACTCAAGTTTCTTGTTACTATGGTTATCAGTATTCTGCTCATATTATTGGCACTTTATTTTACAGTATATGTACATGTCACATATTTTACTGCTCTACTTTGTCATTAACTGCAGCCTCACATTACAAAAGTGACTGGAATTTTTCCTGACATAGAGAGATGTGGTTTAAAAACTTGTCCTGCTTAATTTCTGCATCTTAAGATACTGTTAAAGGCACTAGAAAAGAAAAAAAGCGATAAGTGTAGATAGCAATACTTTTTCAAAATGTTAAATGGTTTACTGGGAACATTGCATACTTAACATTTATGAAGCAAAACCTGGTGAACAATAGTTGCCACTTCACAGCTTTCACTGCTATTTTCTTCATTGCCCTGACTGGCAATATTTTTTAAAAAATAAGTCATAAGGGGAAGTTGATTGAGGAGTACAGGAAGAGAAGTAAACTCTGAGCCTTATATATGTGTTTATATAAAATTATTCTTCCTGTGCTGAGAAGCCATACTGTGAGCCATACTAGTAATATGCTAGAAGATGCAAGATACTGTTTTCTGGTGCAACATACAAATTTTTGAAGTAGCGTAAAATAGATTCCTTCATCTCAGAGGGTTTTGAAGATCCTCTCAGAATTTCTTTAATTTCATTCAGACCTACTTCAGCCATCTCTCATTTTGTAGAATGTGAAGAGAGAAAACTATTTTTGCTGTGTATATTCCATCTACTAGGTTAAGAAAGGCAATGCTACAGAGAAGAAAGCACATAGCACTGGTGGAAAATACTTAATGCAAGTGCTGAAACTGGCCATAAATTTTGCCTTAGCTGTTTAACATTCTGAGCAGAATAACAGTGTGTTTCTATCTGCCACAGTGAAAGCTTAAAAGGTCAATGAGAGATGTATTTCCCTGAACAATTGAGGACTTACATCAGAATACACAATTTTCTACTTTCCTGGCTCATATCCAACATGTTTTTGGAGCTGTGTGTTGAAGGAGCTGAAGCCATTGAAATTATTTATTAGTTAATTCATTAATAATTTTTTAAACACCCACTTCATTTAGATATCAGAACAGCGTACAAAATAAGACCAAAGTGGTCATACCACCATAGTAATAGTGAATAACTTTATGCTAATAAGGATAACAGTCTGCACCAATCATACTTCTACATGCTTTGCACTGTATGCATGATAAACACTCTGGCAAACATAAGTGTACCTGAAGATTAAATTATACGGTGGCTCTTACAAAGTGACTTAGAACAATCAAATGAGACATGCAACTCATGTGTACCAATTAAAGAAGCTACATTTTAACTTGAAATGGTAGATGTTGCATGGCTTACTATATGCCTAAAAATGGATCCTGGTATACAAGTACCATAAGCACTGATAACTGGGAAACACTGGCCTGCGAGCATTCCAACTGGAGAACAGCCTTTAGCAAAGGTGTCATAGACTTTGAAGGAGCATGAACTCAGGGTGAAAAGGAGAAACAAGCTAAGAGAAAGGCACGTTTGACAACCCCCCACCAACTCTCACCTGGAAACCTCTCTCCCACCTGTGGAAGAACGCGTGGATCCAGAATTGACCTCCACCGTCACTTACGGACTCACTGTTAAGATGGTGTTCATGGAAGACAATCTTACTCAGCTACGAGTGATCACCAAAAAAAGAAGGGAAAGAACAAGTACCATACATCCTACTTTTTATATAGATTATATAATTTATACTTACAGCATTTTTATTGTGGTTCCTTTTTTATCTGGGAAGAATAAAGCAGTGTTGAACATCCTTTGGTTTAGCTGCCACTGTGTAAACCTAAATTGCTGTGTTTTTCCCCAAGGGCTTGCTGGGTAGGATAGACTTCGAAATGATATAGATCACTTGAGTTGTCTGCACCAGACAGAATATATTAAGTATAGTTGATGTTCTGGCTACTTTGTTAGTTCTTTGAATCTTCCCTGGCAGGCAGGTAGAAGGACCATTAACATGTTATATTTCTCCCTCTGGAACTCTTCAGTGTAATAAATGCACATGTATCCAGTGGCATCTTGGATGTTCAAAACTATAAAAAATGACAAGTGATATATCACTTTAGAAATATGAGTAAGTTCTGTTGAGTAGTTGAAAGTATACTACAACTGGGAAAGAACTTTCTGTTCTATAACAGCCAACATGTTTTTTATAAGTCATTCATTTGTTTAAAAAAATGTACCCAGTATAACCTGACATGATCACTCCTTGTATTCTTAACAGAACCAAACATAGGAAATAAAAGTCTAAAAATGAACTGTATAAAATATGTATTTTATGCTTGGTTACATTTAAAGCTCCAATACAAATCCTTCCACTGTCAGGTGGCGTTGTGGCCTGGCCACAGCCTTGTCTGCAACCTGGGAGCATTGTCCGGGTGGATTCCAGCCTGCTCGCAGATTGGCCAATGGTGGGCAGGCATGGGCTGGAGTTACCCAGGGGCAGACCCAACTGACCAATAAGCGTCACTTTGGGTCCACTCCCAGGGAGGATAAATTGACCAGGTTTTCTTCCCAGTTCGTCAGTCTTTGTTGCTGCTTTTGCTGCTTTCAAAGGTTAGTCACTTAAATTGATTTCCCAAATTTTCTTTCATTATAAATTTGGTTTCACTTCTAATCCAGTTTCATCACTATTTCTGATACTCCAATTTGATTATTGTTGACATGGGGCCTATGTGCTGTTGACAGTGTGGGATGCATGTGGTTAGAAGGCCAAAAAGGCAAGCAAGGTAGGGGTTTGATTTAAACTGATTTAAATTAGGCAAAATATTTGTCAGTACATTGTTAGCTCTTTTGACTTCTGGAGAGGAAAATGGCGGACTAGATATCGCTTGTCAACAGTCTGTCGACAGAGATAATTATGTGGTGATTAATGATAGCGAAAGGCATAAATCTTGGTTATTACATTCTCTCTGAGAAGAGAGTGGCCTAGAACAGAGGAATTTCAATCGTGTCCAAACACAACATAATAGTCCTGAGGGTCAGTCCTGAGGGCATAAAGTGGGCAAAACCTCCCTTTCTTTAATTACTTTTGAGACTGTTATAAATTATAACTGAAGTGATCTCTCCGCTTGTTGAAATTTGCATCTGGAATGTGAACTGACTTACGAAGAGATGATCATTGAAAGGCTGAATGAAAGCAAAACAGAAAGAATGTTTTAATAGTTTACGACTAAGAAAGATTTTAAGTGGCTAAGGAGCATTCCAACTGTTAGAAATTTTTATTTTATTCTTAACCTTCCATCCCTTTGATGAAAGTACTGGCTGCAAACTGAAACTAGTTTTATTTATGCCTCTGTGGGAAAAGAATGCTGTCTGGAGATAAGGAGATGGGAGAGTCAAGCTGTTAAGGCAGAGACAGTAAGACTTTAAGGTGGAGAGTGAGTTATTAATAAGACCAAGAACACTCAGTATGGCAAAAACACTGTTGGACACCCCATTGACTGTTGGCATCATGCAGCGATTACTGGATGAGCAATTAAAATTTGAGATCAGAGCTGAGATGGCTAAAAGGGTGAATGAAAATAGACCAGTGAAAGATGAGGTTAAAGAAGACACTGAACCTTTGGAAAATAATATTGATAAATGACTGCCAGAATAGGAGAGTGGAATGGAAGAAGAGAAAATGGAAGTACTGTTTTTTTATATAAATTAGGATGGAAAACCACAACGAACAGGAAATTGGAAGATATGGAACTGGGTGTGAATTAATGAATGAATAACTCTAGATTACAGGAAAG